GGAGCCCTCCTTTCTGAGCTGAGACAAAAATGTGTGAGCCGGAGGCTAAAAAACTGTGAGCTAGCTCACACTAACTCAGCTTAGAGGGAACACTGGTGGGGGGGAGGTATTTGTGAATTTCCTGCATTGTGCAGAGGGGGTTGGACTAAATGACCCTGGAGGTCCCTTCCAACCCTACGATTCTATGATTGGCGAAGCTTCACACAGTCAAGCTCTGCAGAGACAGTTACAGGCAGAGGCTTGTAAAGACGGTAATTAGAATTGGCCTACAGACCAAAGAAGCACACTGTTAAATAGGGCAAATGGGGAACCAACCAAAAGCTCTACTGCTAACGTACACGGTCCACTAACAGAAAGCAGCGACATTTGTACATGTGTTTCAAGGAAGCGGAGGATTCCAGGGGAAGCTGGAACTCACCATGGCAGCCACAGGGAAGAGATAGGGGTGGTTACAGCACTTCTTCAGGTCCATGACCACATTGAGAAGAGACACTTGATTGCCGCCCCCCCGGGCATTCAGCGCCTCGAAGTTCCTTGTCAGGATGTATTTGTAGTACTTCCTGTGGAAATACAGTGGACATCCCGTTTTCTAACCTCTTCCTCCAAAAGAGATACATTTGCACAACACCCTGCCTCAGTATTAGCTATCAAATGGAGTTGTCCATTTACCTAGCATATGGCATGGTAGACCAGTATAGGCCCACCTTATCATTTGGTCCAACAGGGACAAGGAGAATGACCGACAATGGAAACCTGGGTGCACTGGAAGTTAGGGCCAATCAGCATCTTGAAACAAACGGTGGAGGAGGGACACGCTTGGCGCCGCCTTATCAGCATCAGCACGCTCAACAAAGGAAAGAGGCGGGCTTGGCTCCAGGAAGGGACAGAGTGTTCCTCCCGCACTCACTTTTGCATAGGGCTCAGCTCCACTCTGACAATCAGCTCCGTCTTGGAAGGCATGTTCTTGAAGACGTCGGCCTTGAGGCGCCGCAGCATGTGCGGGCCCAGCATGTCGTGAAGCTTCTTGATCTGATCCTCCTTGGCAATGTCTGCAAACTCCTCCAGAAAGCCCTCCAAGTTGCTACGAGGAAATGCAGAGAAACGTTCGGGAGAGAGCGGAAGACGGGAATGGCGAGCCAAGAGTTGCAGTTGGGCACGCTCTGCCCAAGGGGGCACTGCAGGACCGGACCAAGGCTGGACTGAAGCGGTAGGTGACCCAGGCAACCACAAGGGGGCAGGGCGGCGAGGGTGCACTGCTGCAGGCATACTATCAGCCCAACAGATGAAGCCAAATGAAAACTAAAAGAACCAAGATTAACATCAGAAGGTCGTCCTCCTAGTTAATACTGGTTCACCCAGTGATTTCTTGATGTCTGTATTAGGGATGGGCACAGATCGACTCACAGACCAAATTTTGACATGGACTGAGGGCCCGGTTTGTGGTTCATGAACCCGGTCCGTGAGCAAGACACGTTGATGCCGACGATTGCCAAGGCTACAGGGATTCCCTTCCCTTCCCTCGCTGAAACACAAATTGTCTTCCCTTCTCTCCTGGGAGTGTGCCACTGCTGCAGCGAGACTTCGGAGAGTGAGGGGGGGCATGTTTAAATGTCTTCCCTTCCCGAGTTGCTCCCCGTGCCTCAGCAAGTGAAGGGAGGGCATTTTGAATGCCTTCCCTTCATGATCCCACAAACCACAACCTGGTCCATCATCGTGGAGCTTCGTGGTTCATAAACCCCATGAGCAACGAAGCCCCAAAGACCTCAATTTTTTCAGCCCAGGTCCTCCTCCAGTCTGTACATTTTGCTTGTTCTTTAAAAAGATCTTCAGGTTAGAAGAAACAATTTTATCTGCATATCTGAGGCGTGAATAAATTCAGATCCTAGCTTGCACATCCATTGTTTTATGTGGATCGCAGGCACGAAAGGGGTGTGAGGTTACAGATTTAATAAGGTATTCAAAGGCTAAACAAATGGAGAAGTGGAGGGAGAATGAGACGAAGTTATTTTCTTGGCTGGGGAGCCATTCAATCGAGGCCCAGGCATATGCAGGACTTACTGAAATCTTTCCGGCGTCAGAAAGTTTAGCAAGTGGAACAGTTCCTCCAGGTTGTTCTGCAAAGGGGTCCCCGTGAGCAGCAGCTTGTGTTGAAGAGAGTAGCCGTTCAGAACCCGGAAAAACTGAGAAGAGCATTGGAAAGGGCGGAGGGAGAAAGGAGAGGTGGTCAAGGGTCATCCAGTTCACTGCTGTACCTCAGAGCCTTCTCGGCACCTAAACCCTGGAACTCTCTCCCCAAGGAGACCGCCCCCCCCCCATGTTGCCCTCTTCTGCCCAGGGGGTGAAGACTGTTTTGTTTCGTTTGGGATTCCCTCAGTGATCCCTCCCTACTCCCCCAAAGTTTTAATCGTTTCTGTGTATTGTATCATTTTAGCTCCGGTTTTAATTGCCTCGACAACGTGCTTTTAAGATGAAATTCTATTATATATGTTTTAATTTGATAGCCACCTTGCTGGCCCTACCACGGG